CAGCCACTCGGTCTTGGAAGGGTTGAGCCTGAGTCTGTTCCTCCCCATCCAGACCCGTACGGCCTCCAGGCAACGGGCCATCACGTCAAGGGCAACATTGGGGTGGTCTGGGGTGGAAATGTACAGCTGAGTATCGTCAGCGTACTGATGGAAATCCACCCCAAAGCCACGAATGATCTCCCCCAGCGGCTTTACATAAGTATTGAACAGAAGGGGAGAGAGGACCGACCCCTGAGGCACCCCACAAGTTAGGGGTCCTAACCAAGATCCTAACCAACCCTTTTCTGATTTTATAGATGATTTACAAAAGGCTATAGATAGACAAATTACTAATATCACTGCTCGCGCAGAATTACTTTTAAAACTTGCTTATGAAAATGCCAATGCTGATTGCCAACGTATTTTACAACCTCTTGCTGCTAAACCAGATGCTACTCTTGCTGACTTTTTGAAAGCTTGTCGCATAGTAGGAACTAGTGCCTTCTCTATGGATGCCCTTGCAGCAGCCATACAGCAAGGCGGGCGTCCCTCTGGAAACTGCTTTAATTGTGGAAAGCCTGGTCACTTCAAAGCTCAGTGTAGAGCCCCGGGAGGTGGAGCATCACGCAAAAATAATAATTCCAGCAAACCAAAAACAGTTTGTCCTAAATGCAAGAAGGGTTTTCATTGGTCTAATCAATGTAGATCTGGCTCTATTCAATCTGCCCAGTCGGAAAACTAATTACGGGACCCACAGCCAGCCCCGCTTCAAAGGCTGTGTGACAACCTCTGCCATTTCCTGCTTCTTTTCCAGCTTCAGTCTTTCTTATCGCTGACATCTCTCTTGATGCAGATTTTCCTAACACGCCCTATTCTATCTCCACCTCCTTGTTGCAACCCCTCCCCTCTTCCACATCTGCTCTTGTTATGCCTCATGAGTCATTCACCCTAAGGGGTGGTTTTTTCCCTCCTGCACTTTTAGTATGCTCTGATACTGTCACAACTGACATTGAATTTATCCCAAACTGCCCAATTTCAATACAAAAAGGGGAAGTAATTGGTAAACTATTAGTTCTCCCCCCCGTGGAGCCATTGCCAGCTCCCACTGAATTATTGGCTATAACAAAAACAATGCAAAACAGCCGCCCAGCCATGGAGTTCCATATTAAAGGTCTCCGTTTTTCTGGCATTCTAGATACCGGCGCTGATGTGTCAGTAATCCGAACCGCTGAATGGCCTGCACAGTGGCCATTTGAACCGGCTCCAGCAGTCAGAGGGGTGGGCGGAACTCAAGCTGCACAAATCAGCAAAGATTGGCTATCTGTGACTTCTCCACAGACATCTGCAGTTGCACACATCAAACCAGTCATCCTCCCCCTTCATATCAACTTGTGGGGGCGTGATCTCATGCACCAATTTGGTGCCAAATTAAGTTTGGAATAATGTCTCTTTCTATTCCTCTCCGCCTTTCTCTTAAATCTGATATTCCAGTATGGATTGACCAATGGCCTCTTACCTCTGAAAAACTTTCCGCTTTACACTCTCTTGTGTCTGAACAACTTGCCTTACAACATATTGAACCCTCTTTGAGTCCTTATAACACTCCAGTTTTTGTGATAAAAAAAAATCTGGTAATTGGCGTTTATTACATGATCTTCGCCTCATCAATACCATTATTTGACCTATGGGGGCGCTACCAATGTGGCCTCCCAAATCCTAACCTCATTCCAAAGAACCATGACCTCATGATTATAGACCTCAAAGATTGTTTCTTTTCCATACCCCTGCACCCTGATGATATGCCTTTGTTTGCCTTTACTGTGCCTGAAATAAATATGCAAAAGCCCACTTCTCCCTATCAATGGCGTGTCCTTCCTCAAGGCATGCTAAATAGCCCCACCATATGTCAGCTATATGTCAATACAATTCTAGAACCCTATCGCAAACTATTCCCTCATTTTCTGGTCTATCACTACATAGACGACATTCTCATCGCTGCGCCAGGGCCTGCGGGCACTGTCAGTACCACCTTACCCACACTCACCTCCCTACTTTCACAAGGGGGTCTCCAAATAGCTCCTGAAAAAATACAACACAAGGAGCCATTTTTGTACCTTGGTCACAAGCTGCTCTCTTCCTATGCAGCACCAAAATTTCCATCTTTACATCTACCTCACAAAACTACTTTAGTAAAACTTCAACAATATCTAGGAACTATCAATTGGATCCGTCCATATTTTGGCATCACTACAACCCAATTGACACCTTTATTTTCTGCTCTGGCACAGGGCAAATCTCCCTCTGATCCTATTGCTTTCACATCAACACAAATTGAGGCCTTTTCCCAAATAGAACAAGCCATACATGCTCAATGGGTGGACCTCTGTGTCCCCAATGAGCCTCTTTCGCTCATAATCATTAACACTCCGCACCTTCCAACAGCAGCTATTGCCCAAAATTCAGGCTCTGTGCGCATCCTGGAATGGCTACATTTACCACACACCCCTAGAAACACCATTAATCAAAAACCTTCTCAATTTGCATCTCTCATTACTAAAGGGAGACTCAGATCCAAAACCTTGNCAGGGCTGTTGATACATAGCAGGGAGCCAGGTATATAATCAACAAGCCCACTTGCACCCCTTGCCCCCACTTCACAAAGAGCGACTCCACGCCGTCTATCTGAGGCACAGTGGTCTCCCTTGGACAAAGGCTCTCCCTTATAATGACCGCTACCCCTCCGCCCCTACCCCGGGTCCTTGGCTGATGGAATGCCTGAAAAATTATCACAATTTGGGTGCTTGGCAACTGGCATGTATTTATGATGGTAGTTGCATCTCAGAGTCACATAATTACCAACTATGACCTTTCCAGGGGATTTCCAACAGGCAAAGTCAAGGATGGGGCGGGAGAGCTGTATTTGCTTAGCAACCCCATGATTCACCTATTAACCATGGTGATTCACTATCAACTGCATCAAAAAAGATTGCAACTGATTTAACAATCAAAATCGCTTAGCAATGGGAGCTCCAGTCCTAATTATAGTCATAAGTTAAGGATTACCTATATGGTGCTATATTAGATTGAGCGGAAATAAAACAATGTTTCTGAATTACATTCTAAAGAGCACGATATAGATAGTAATGAATACCACACATCTATCGGTAGAAGGAAGAGGTATCCAACAGCTACACCTTAAACTTCAGGACATGAGCAGAACATGCATTTTGGGATTGAGTTCTATGTAAATACGTATTTACATAGAAGTAAGTCCCAAAGAACAAATAAGCAAATGTTAACAGTGCAGCTCAAAACACAATTTCACAATTCAATATTCCTTTGAATCATAAAAAGTTCTGTATGGTGTAATACAAGGTAAAATTGTTCCAGAACATACCTCCAAAAATTGTGTTTGAATTAAACGCCAAAGTAGAGACATCAACTCCATGTAACCTTGGATCACTATTTCCACTGCTTGCCGACAATTTGTCAGTGAAAGACTTCTTTACCTCAGGGAAAGGCATACTTCTCCAAGTCTCATCAAAAGCTGGATCTAAAGGAAATTTCAATGGATCTAAAGGAAATTTCTCCAAACTGGTGAATGTGTTTCTGCCACTGCCACTTCCTTCATCATCCACCTGAGACAGTGGAATTCTCATTGATTTTGGTGCCACTCTAGAAAGTTAAAAGAAAAAAGAATGACAAAAATAGGTTAATGTTGTGCCATATATATGGCAATTAAAGTTCTTTTCATTAAGTATTCAATTAAATGTGGTGTAGTAGTTTAGATGTTCATTAATGCTGGAGTTCTATATTCAAGCCCATGTTTAGCCATGGAAACTCAATTAAGAGATTTCAGGCCAGCCAGTCAAGCAGAACAACTACATCAAAAGGTTGTTATAGAGGAAAATGGGATAATGGAGCCCTATGTATTCAGTTCCTTTTTGCAAGTATAAACTGCCTTGGAAAGAAGAATGGAACAAGCAGTGTTCCTAAAAAAAGTGGGGCAGCAAGTAGGGATGGATGGGCTCAATTTATAAGATGATCTGAATTTTTATGCTAGGAGAATACATTTCCTAAAGCTTATCTTTCTAAAAAATTGTGTCCAATAGCATCCAGAACACAGACCCCTCAAGCAATGACAGAACAATACCAAAACTGAATCTTTAGGATACAAAAAGGCTGACACTTCCCAAGTCAATACAACAACAGTAGATACTGTTCATCATTATATTTGTCAAACAGTGCTAATGACAATGACACTACTTTATTTTAGAAAGAAAGTGGGATCAACTATTTACCATCCCATGAATATGATACACTTAACTTTCTTTTCATTGAAGACAATACAACTTGCTTTTGTGCACACCTAGGACAGTTGCTATCATCCTGACTGCAAGAAATATCATGAATATCACTGTGCCCTCTTTCATCCAGCAATGAAGAATAGGAATCACTCTATATAAGAAAAAAGATCATGTAAGATTTAAGATTAACATTTAACTCTTAAATTTCATTTTATAATTGACAATCCATTCCAAAATTTGAGACTTTGTCCCAGTTCATATATATTGCTAAGTTGTAATATGCTTTGTAAGCACAACATATATGAACTCACTCATTACAGATTACTATTATGTGTAAATTGAATTACTGTAGCTTTTTCAAATCCTGGCATAACATTAAGTGTGAATCTGTACATTTTAGAATGATGCTTAAATGTTTTAAAAGTTCAGAGAACCCTATTGCTGCTTCATTGTGGCAGGGAGATGTTCTTGGGAAGGATGAGCAAGAATGCTGGTAGTATATGCCAAGAATATATCATCTAAATAATGTCACCCAAGACATGGAGATCATTCCAACTGCAAATCCTAAAGCATGTAGATACTTATATGGTAGTAGCAATGTAGAAAGTTCTGGGAGATGGATGCTTGCTTTTGTGAATACAGAAAAGACATGATTTCATACTTAATAGAAGAAGGCAATGGTAAATGACTCCTGTATTTTACCAAGAAAAGCAGATAAACAGATAAGGTAAAGTGATAGATGATATAATGCCAGATGTTACTCAACATATTACTGAGAAAAAGTTGAGGATCTTTCAGACTATTAATGGTACAGGTAGTTCTCAACTTACAACCACAATTGAGCCCAAAATTTATGTTGCTAAGCGAACCATTTAAGCGAATTTTGCCCCAATTTATGACCTTTCTTGCCACAGTTGTTAAGTGAATCATTGCAGTTGTTAAGTTAGCAACCCAGCTGTTAAGTGAATCTGGCTTTCCTATTGACTTTGATTGTTAGAAGGTCACAAAAGGTGATCACATGACTCTGGGACATTGCAGCCATCATAAATATGAGTCAGTTGCCAAGCGTCTTAATTTTGATCACATGACCATGGGATGCTGCAACGGATGTAAATGTGAAAAATGGTCATAAGTCACCTTTTCCAATGCTGTTTTATCTTTGAACAGTCACTAAATGAACTGTTGTGAGTTGAGGACTGCCTGTATTTATGACTCGATTAAAACTTTTAGGACATCTGATTGCTGATGTTGCCATGAAAGAAAAGATAATCTGAGGCTACAAAGACAGAATTACAGCAGGAACGGTGAATGTAAGATACATTGAAAAAGAACACAGTAAAAGATTAAATAAATTGATACCTTGGGCATCAGCAAATTGAAATGGACTGGAACCTGTTACTACTCAGGTCATGAAAAACAAAGACGGAACAACATTGCTTTCATGGTCAGGAAGGATACCGAAAGGACAGTATGTAGGTACAATGTAATTAATGATTGAATAATATGAAGTGGATTTCAGAGATAGTCCTTTAATATTATAATCATCAACCACTAATGCAGAAAAAAGCATTGACAAGTTTTATGGTTGAGTTTAATCTGAAATCAAGAGAACATGCAGACAAGATGTGCTGCTTATGGTTAGAGAATGGAACGCCCAAGTTGGAAATAATGAGTAAAATATAGTTGGACTGAATGGCCTAGGAAGCAGAAATGAAGCAGAAGGACTTATCCATTTCTGCCAATCCAATGAAAGTCTTTGAAAAGTTATTTTATCAAAATCATTCAGTCAACATCTTTCCTAGACATTCTATCAATGTGAAACTTGGATTTTGAAGAATCAAGAGAAAAAGAGTATTGATGTTCTTGAACTTTGGTGCTGAAGAAGACCAAACTTTGGGTAGGAGAAGACTTTGGGTAGGGAATACTTCAGTTAGCAAACCAATCCAGAGTTCTCACATGAGACACAAATTAACAGGCTCAAATTATCATATTTTGGGCACATTGTGCAAAGACATAGTTCCCTTGGGAAATCTATCTTTCTAAATAAATAAATCTTTAAATTTGGAAAAGATGGAAAGAAAGAAAATACATAGTCCAATAGCAAGGTGGATGGACTTGATTACAGTAACAGGTACACTACTGGGAGACCTGATTAGTCAGTCTGGGAAATCATCCTGGAGAGAAAGCAGTCTATGTGGCTGCTAAGAATTAACACAGACACATTGGCACAAACTCAGATTAAATGATGTTTACAGAAACCAAAGAAATGCATTCTGAAAATATTGTCTATTTGTTCACCTCAGAAAATCTGGTCAGCTTGATTGCAGTTTGAAAACGGCTGTTCATAAAGAGTTGCAGTTCATCAATATATTTTTTCTGTGCAAGATAAATAAATCTTTTTAGACCTATTTAGTTTAATATTCAGAATAAAATTTTGGCTTGTTGGATAAGTTCAATGCTCTCCAATTCAGTATCTAAAATAATGTTATTCATTATATTCTTTCCAAATATTGCAGTCGTTAAAAAGAATTCATTACCTCAATGACACAAATTTCATTACAGAGACATTTGGAGAAATTGTCATATGGATACTAATATTAACAATAACATACTTATTAATTAGTCATGAGGCCATATCAAAACACAACAAAATAAAGTGAAAAGCAAAACTAGAAGAAAATGCATTTCATATTTCTTTATTATCCCTATAGCTTTTTCCAAGCCAATGCATATATGCACTTCAGTTATATTGTTTTATTCAAATAAAAAGACTTATTAATATTTGGGTTCTGACCACATTGATGTTATTCAAATCTATGGATTCCAATGAATCATTTATTCAATATTGACCTCTCACTTTCCTACATAGTACAGCTGGCATTCAGTAACATACAGTATGTGCCATATCCTCAATCTGAGAAGCATCATAAATACAACCGTATTTATGAACTTGGTTAAATCCTCCATATTTAATCTTTGTATCTAACTGTTCAAATCACACTAAATACCTCATAAAATAACTGAACATTTTGTATTTAGATATTTTTAAATTTGAAAGGTGTATTTATACACCCATTTCAGTGTACCAACCTTATAAAGCTATACCTCTTTCAGCTTTTATGTCCAAGATTATTTGAATGGCAATGTTTTTAACTTGTTCTCCAGAGACAGTTGAACAAGAGACAGAGAAACCCTAACTCCTGATATAATTTGTAAATTATACAATCTAAGAGATCTATAAGTGAGATTTAATCTGATCAGACAAAATTTGGGAGTCTTATCAGTTTCCATAAAATTACTTCTCCACCAACAATTATATTTCCCTAAATAATAGAGCATTGTATATGGGTATTCTTCAACTTATGGTCAATTGCTTAGTGACTGTTCAAATTTATGATGACCCAAAAAAGAGGATTTATGACCTGGATTTAAAGTTCTGATGATTGGGCCCCCTTGGCAGTCATGTGACTGAACTTTGAGTGCTTGGCAACATGGCTGTATTTACGGCAAGACTGAGCCCATAAAAACCATAGATTCATTTTAGGACCACAGTGGTCACTTAATGACCACTACAAAAAAGGTCATAAAATCCTTTTGGAAAACATCATAAAATAGTTTTACCATAATGGGCAGTCTTCATTATGATTTTATGTCGAGGACTACCTCTATATATGACTGTAACCGCAGCATCTGGATTTCATACAATTAGAAAAGATATTTCAGAACTTGTACCGTAATTCGACATTACAAAGATCGTGATCATAAAAAATACATGTTTGGAAATAAATTACCAAGGTTTTTTTTAACCTAAGATTTTAGGTCTCAAAAACAGAGTAGCAATAAATATTAGTTCTAAAAACTGGCAACAAAGTATAAACAAAAAATAAATAAATTAACAATCAACCACACAAGCAGCAGGTGAGGGTGCATGTACAGCTCTGCTTGCACAAGCGGTGGGTGCTTAAGCGAATACTTGCATTGCACATGCAGTTCCACCTGCAAATGGAGCTGCACCCACAAATGCATGCACCTGCTGCTCACACCGAACTATTCCTTCCCTGCCCCCTGCCAAGCCAGAAAGGTTGGGGATCACTGAACTACATCACTCTGTGGGAACAACAATATTTTTAATAGTGCATTTACCAGAAAATACATTATCTTAATATTTTGTCTAGTTCTTTACTCACTATTGTGTTTCCCGAAAATAAGACCGGGTCTTTTTTTTTTTTTTTTTTGGCCTCCAAAAGAGGCACCAAGTCTTATTTTCAGGGGATGTCTTTTATACTCACCTCTGACACCGACAGCCCCGCCGGTCCACTTCTTCTGGGGCAGAAGGAGTAGCTTCATTCTGCAGCTGCATTCCGGC